TGGCCTAGAAGATAAAGGTTCTTAGAAAGATACTTCTTTTATAGTTTATCAAACTGTTCATCGGTGAAGACAAAAGACTTATTAAATTATCTAAATTCAGCGGGATGGATTAAATCTTTACTCTTTTATACTAGGGTTCTTCTGAAGAGTGTGGTAGCAAAACGGAGAAAAATCGCTAATTGCAGTACATGAAAGTTATCTAATGGTCTGCCACTGTAACCAACTAAGCAATCAACCAAAACAGCATTTTAAACATAATTTTTTAATTGTCTGTGTCGTGTTGTTGATATTATATGTTCATGTTCAATTTATGTAGGTTAAAAATTTTCATCCTTACAACTTTAGATTGTAATAGAAATTTCAATGTTAGGAAATGATAGCACTACCCAAGGAATTAATTAAACATCTTTTATGCGTTAACAATTTTCCCATACAATAAGACCTAATAGACTTGTGGGCTCTACAATTTGTACGATAAAGTTCGGAATAATAAGAAAGTCAGATATAATAAGAAATAAAGTATGTATTTAATGCAACGTCCCTTATACATAATACGACTTGTATTAAAAAAAAACTAGCCACAATACATGTATATCACATACCCGACATTTATAATAAAGACTTTACTTTTGAACTTCATATTTTTCAAATTCTTTGTATTTTTGATATCCAAACATGATCAGTTTTAGATCTCTGTCAATATTTTACTAATATTTCTTCATAAACTCTACTGACACCTTCACAATAGGCTTGGAGCTCACATATTCTTTAACACTTCCTTGATAAGAATAAAAGGTGCATACTAGCTGCAAAAAACGACCGATGTCGCCACTTAATTGCACACAGCAGTGCTGGTGGTTAGTGTGGAGAGCTCAACATGATCTTTAACTTATAATCTCATAAATGGTAAAATCGAGGGACCGAACATTTATTGCCACTGGTTCCAACTGAGTTTTAGCTTTCAGCGATTAATTTTATTAATTGAAATTTAAATGAAACATACTCTATACCAATAACTGACTATGTAACATAGTACCTTTCCAAAACATGACTAATGATTTTACTTTTGAAATTTTGGAAACTATTCAAAGCAAACTCGTACGTTAATCTGTTATTAGTTTTATATTTAAAAAAATGCCGTTAAAGCCAAAACTTGACTTAATAAGTATTATCGAAAATCTATTCTATCAAAAGCAATACTTGAACGTTGGTTTTTAAAATTTAAACATGGTCCTACAGACACTGAAGACCCACCATGCTTTAGTCGCTATCTTGTGGCGCTTGCACCTCTAAACATATTGAAGAAATGTGTGTGGCTTCTTGCACATTATCATTTATTCATTAGGCACCTATTTCGAAATAGGTGCCGGCAGTCATCTGGTGCTGTTCAAGCTAAAAAGAATTGATTTTTTGCATGGATATATAGCACTTAGTATAAAATAGGTCCACCATTTAATTCCGGGGTCAAAGCGGTAGTCAACAAAATAGACAGCAACTAATAAAAGCCAAAGGCTTAGCAGTCGGCTAGTAGGATTATGGAATTCGTATTTTGTGATTGGCAAGACAAAAAACCGTTAATAGCGAATAATAATATATATGAATTATTGGTGCGGTTGGAAAAAAAACGCGAAAAAACGGTTCCAAATGAACAATTAAACAAACATTCCGGTTTTGCTAAGACAATGGTTAGTAAAACTAGCGAAATTATACGAACTACATTTTCGAAACCAACACCTATTTTTAGCTCAATATAAAACATTCTGCAAGAGATAAATGCACAAAGCACTCTGAAATAATTGTATTGACCAGGGCTTCCAACCGGAATTTTTTCGGTTGCGGTTTTTGTTCCAGTTCATATAAAAAAAAATATATCGGTTCGGTACTGGTTTTCGTTCCTACAAATTCCCGTTTTTTCGGTTTTCGAAGTCCTGGTATTGACGTTAAAGGAATTTTATTAATGTCATATTTTCGGAAAAAGTATATTTTTATAATTTAATCTCGAGAGATAACAGTCGATGTATGACGTGCATAATTAGAATATATATAGAAAAAAAATTTTGTCATATATAATATATATATATTGTCATATCATGCCTCTCAACTATCAATTAGCGAAATTTAATACTTTCATATACGATGATATCACTTTTTGGATAAATATCAATAAGAAGTTGTATTAAAGTAAAATACACTAAATTTTTTTCCGGTCCTTATTATATATTGGGTTAAGAAACAATGTTAAAAGCAATTAACTAAAAGGGTTCTAAATTAATGTGCAACTATCTCTTAAGTATTAACAGTTTGAGGAGCTTTTATTCTATTTGAAAGATACACTTTATTACAAATAATTTATAAATAATTTTATCTCTCATGACAACTTATTTTCGAATTCTTAAATGCATTTCTTGTTCTGGGTTTTAAGTAAGTGAACTGCAACCGTAAATAAATATGAATTAATATATTTTATTTGCAACATGAAATTGCTTTTCTAATTAACAACATACCATTCCAAAACGAACAATTGTCCAGCTACAGAAATTATAGTAATTGTCCTTTTGGAGTACTTCTGGCAAATTATTGTCTGTTGACAAAAGCACCTGACAAATATTTTGGAATTGGCCTGTACGAGTGTACGTTTCTACATACATCTATCCGTACATACGAGTATATGTCTATGTACGCATGTACCTGCTAATGAAGATATGAATTCAAGACACAATTCAGTTTATGGAAATAACTGAACTACAAAGCAACAATAAGGCCACACGTAAATGGATATATGTGTTACCTGAGTAAAAAGTCGAACAATAGCTGTGAAATGCTAATAAACTTTACACAGAAAATGGATCTATGAAATGACCATCATAGCACACACTTTAAGTGCAACAACAGTAGCTGGCAGAACCATGAAGAGCGGAGGGAAGAAGAGCCATGCCAAACAGCAAAAGTAATTGTAGTCGTAATAGAAGAATAAGAAGGCAATAATAACAAAAATGATAATAATGAGTGCAATGGCAGTGGTGGTAAAAGGATAATGCTTAACAAGAAGTCTGGAATGTGTGAAAATTAATAAAGTAATTATTTACTTCTGGCAGAATATCAGAATATCAAGCCTTTCCTCCAACAACAAAGAGAAATCTTTAGTTGCTTTTATGGTTTTGTGACTAAAATTATAAATTGTACTTTTATTGCTCTTTGACCATGGCACATGCTGTTGTTCCTAGTCCGTTCCTGCTCGAGCAGAACTCGTACAATGACAGTCGTAAGAGCACATTAAGAGGTTGGTCCAGTCAGTTCGATGGTCACTTGGTCGGTTGGTTAGTTGGGCAGTTAGTTGTGCACGTGTTAGCAGGCTGTTAAATGAGGTAGGCATTTCGCACGTTCGTTACTTTGGATACGCTACATAAAACTAATACACATAAATATTCATACGAAGCTCGCAATATCTTTGCACATCTTCAATTAATTTGGCAACCTATGTTTGGAGTAGCTGTGTGTCCTTTCTTCTACTTGTCGTCCTTATTCTCAGCCAAAACATACCAGCATTATGAGCAGAATTATGAGCATGCAAGGAAAATTTTATGCTCGTGTGTGCTTTGATATTTTGTGATTATTTTACTACATTGGCCTTTTAATGAGTTCATTATTTTATGACAACTTTTTACTATTTTTATTACTTCATTAATTGCATTAAAGCACTTTTATGACGCAATTATTATGCAGATGCGAAAACAGTTTTTTAATGATTATTCCCTTTCTGTGAACGAAATGACTAATTTAAGGATATAACTTTTAACAGGATTCTGACTATTTAGTTAATGTTTAATGTAATATAAATTGGTGTATATGCAAAACTTTAAAATGAATAACATGTCACTCAATAAATCTAACTAAAAAAAAACAAATTTATTCTGCTAAAAATCGATTTTACTCTGCAATATAATCTCCTTCAAGGGCAATACAATCATTCCAACGCCTCTCTAACTTCTCGATTCCGTGGTTGTAGAAGGATTTGTCTTCTACCTCAAAATAGGCTTCATTTTCAGCAGTTACTTCTTCATTTGAGATGAATTTCTTACCGGCGAGCATTTTTTTGAGATCAGCGAATAGTCAGTAGTCGCTGGGGGCTAGATCTAGACTATACGGTGGATGAGGAAGCAATTCGAAGTGTAATTTGTGCTATTTTGCCATCGTTTTTATTGACTTGTGATATGATGCATTGTCTTGGTGTAACTAAATTTTTTTCTTCGCCATATTCGAAGCATATCATCAGGAAGCAATGATTAATTAACACACGAAATTGTTTTGAAACCATTGTTTTGAAAATAACAAAAGTAGGTTCACTTAAGTAACTGTTACTTTTTTCTAACTAATCGAAATGTCATTAAATTTTACACATAGTCTCTTGAAGGTTGGTACTTTATAAACGTTATATGGATTTGACAATGGCAGCGCCATCTGTGTGTCAGTCACACAACTTATTGAGTGATGTGTTAATTTTTAATCAATTGGAACATATATTTTAACAAATTTTTAATAATTCTCATTCAAAAAAAAAACAAATCAAAATAGAATAAAAGCAGTTTTTTAGTTCAATAAACGAAAGAGCATTTCTTTTTCAAATAATATATTTTTAATTTCAATTTAATTATTAAAATCCTAACTAACTAATTAACATAATGTTTTCTAAGGAATTTAAGAAAAAGTCTTTAGAATTTAAATCTTTTACTACCTTTCCTCACACTTTCCTCACGAACTCTTTTGAGAAATCTTTTGAGAAAGAAAACGTATCGCAAATAATTTATTACTGGAGTAGTAAACTTTCAGAAGTTCTTCCTATGAGTACAAGACAAATATATGAGCTCT